ATTATTATTATTATTATTATTATTATTATTATTATTATTATTATTATTATTACTCCCTTGATTTGATTTTTAATCGATAGAAAGTTTGTCTTCTATCTTTTACGAAAAACAGCCCTCTGGCTGGTGATTAAACGGACAATGCTGATCGACTTACGTGAGAATCGATTCATTGTAAAGTACAGATGCAACGACAAACCGGTAGGCACTGGCAGCACCGATTAAAAGATATCGAAAGTAAAAGAAAACTGACAAATACATCGCAAATATATCACGAAAGACTCGAGAAATAATACCGAATAGATAAACACTTCGTACATAATTAACTAAGCAGTATATAGGAAACGGAGAAGAGGTACTGCAAGATGCAACGAGGCAGAAGCAAAATGGAGGACAACGTCAAGAGATCAACGGGATATTCATGTAATACAACCCTCAACAGCACTCAATATTCCAGCAACGTTGCAAAAATATCGTATTTCAAGGTCGCAATATTGCTGCAGAATTGCTAAAAATGAAGTTCTGAAAGTACAGACGATATTTCTATAATTCCNAATTATATTATATTTTCCCAATAATATCGATATAACAATTGCATAAAAATTGTGAGAAACGTTACTGTAACATTACTATAATGTTACATCACAACGTATGAATGTATTGTTGCTAATCTGTTGCAGTAACATTGTAGGTTAATTGCAATATGGCAATATTGAGTGCTTTTGGGGTTGTTACAGATAATACAGTACAGACACAACTATATAAGACACGACTATAGTAAGTAGCACGTAGTGAGACGTTTCATAAATAAATAATCGTCTGTCGTTCTCTTTCGGCTGGGAGTAACAGTAATTTTCCGATTGAACACGTGCGGGATCCGTGCAGAGCTTCGTGGAGATCGGCAGGCGAGCTCTAAACATATTTGAACGTTCGCATGGAATGCTAGAAAATTACTCTTTTTGTCGTTTTACATTGTACTTATAATCGTTTTTGTTTTCCGTCTCGAGAATATATATTTATTTCCTGACAACGATCTTTTGTAACACGTATACAATATTATAGTTTATACTCGTTTGTAGAATATATATATATAGCAAGTTTTCTGTTTTCCAATAAAGCATAATTGTGTAAACGTTGTTAGATTCATACAGAAACCGAGATCACCTTCGATCAGGCGAGGCACGCCTTTGTTTCAATCGTATAAAATTCGTTTCTTATACATAGTATCCCAGGTTTTAATGTTCAAACTTTATTTTATATTCTATAGCATTGAAAGAGAACAAAAAGTTACAGGATGTTTCAGACAAAGTGTTAGAGCCGAAGAGAGGTGATTTTGAATAACAATTTCCTTTGCCAAAATGCAAAGTGAGTTGTGGTTTTTGAATTATCAACGAAAAACACTGACCAATGGGAGCTGCGTAGGGCCCGCGCTCAGCCACTGGAGTGGTGGCTCGGATCGTAACGGTCGGCCGTGGCTCACCGCGGGAAGGACTATGCGTGCTTACATTTTTACTTTTTACTATTATTCNGTACATATACCATTTAACAAGCTTCGCAACAGTGATAAATAGAAATCTTGTTATTTGACCGAAGCATAAATTACAAATAACGCAACCTTTAACCGACACAATAATGATGAAGAGAATAATTAAAAGGAGGCATATTTTTGACTAGCAGCTAATTTTAAGTGTCGTTATTTTGTACGTAAAACAAATTAATGCAATGGAATATTTCTAAAATTATGGTATGTACAGTAAGGAAATATGTATATGCATCTTCTAAAAACAAGACGTTCGACTACTAAGAAAAATTTTAAGGAGGAATTCCACAAGCCAAGGTAACAAAAAACTTGACCCATTTTTTTATTATTGATTTTCATTATTTCCACTTGTGGAATTACCCCTTAAAATGTTTCCCATCACTAGCCGAACACAGTATATATGTACGTATGTAAAGGAGTGTGAAGAATTAGTCTGAAACAACGCTAATTACGTGCTTTTGGTCCACGTCGCATTGAACAACCGAACGTTTCTCAGTTGCTAAATCAATTGTTGTTACTTATTGTCCGTTTGTAAAAATTTAACAGGCGACTCTCCTCTTTCTCCGAGCAGTTATTAAATTTTATGACGTGTACATGGTCATACTTTCGGTCATGGTCACATTAAAACTGTAACATCGACTTATTTCTAATATCAACAAGTCGAAATATTATACAAAATCCTTGTCACCTTATTAACTTGTTACTTCGCCTATGTAACGTGATAGGAGGGGATTAAGGAATTTTCAATTTCTCAATTATTATAAAGGAGAACTGACCCAACAACTGTCTAAAAAGGCTGTCTTTAAAGCCTAAACCATTAAATCACAGGCGAGATTTAGAAAAGTTAAAGGCTGTAAAAAAGGTTTTTCTTCGCGAAAGAATGGTAAAGCACGATAAAAAAAAAACTATATTTATAATACGAAACGTTTGTACTATTAAAATCGAATTAAATCTCATCGACAAGAGGTCAGTGCTTTTCAAGCATTCCGCGCGTAATACATGTACGATTGTCGATTACATGCTGTGTACGGTCAGACTTTAAGGCTGTGTGGTCAATAAAATAATTAAGAAACGATGCGTGTCCTTTTCATTTAATTAAACAAATGAGAGTAAAGAAATTTCTCTCTGGTAAATGGAAAAAATTCTACCCTTCGTTCCCCATTATTTAATATATAAGTCGACGAACAATACATGTACACAATTATAAAAATATTTTATTTGACAATAATAAATTTCGCTTACAGACTTGTTTATAGGGAAATACAATATATAAAATGCTTCGACAGGAATGAGTAAATTGTGCATTACGCGATATCAAAGTACACGAGATATAAGAAGAGAAGTGCGTACATTAATATTTCTTCCTTTTCTTATTTTAAATTGAAGAGAATAGAAAATTGGATGGACGCGCAAGTGTCACAGTCCCGGCTCGACCTCGCGTCATTCGGATACTTACATATATACAAAAATATGTACATATACCATTTAACAAGCTTCGCAACAGTGATAAATAGAAATCTTGTTATTTGACCGAAGCATAAATTACAAATAACGCAACCTTTAACCGACACAATAATGATGAAGAGAATAATTAAAAGGAGGCATATTTTTGACTAGCAGCTAATTTTAAGTGTCGTTATTTTGTACGTAAAACAAATTAATGCAATGGAATATTTCTAAAATTATGGTATGTACAGTAAGGAAATATGTATATGCATCTTCTAAAAACAAGACGTTCGACTACTAAGAAAAATTTTAAGGAGGAATTCCACAAGCCAAGGTAACAAAAAACTTGACCCATTTTTTTATTATTGATTTTCATTATTTCCACTTGTGGAATTACCCCTTAAAATGTTTCCCATCACTAGCCGAACACAGTATATATGTACGTATGTAAAGGAGTGTGAAGAATTAGTCTGAAACAACGCTAATTACGTGCTTTTGGTCCACGTCGCATTGAACAACCGAACGTTTCTCAGTTGCTAAATCAATTGTTGTTACTTATTGTCCGTTTGTAAAAATTTAACAGGCGACTCTCCTCTTTCTCCGAGCAGTTATTAAATTTTATGACGTGTACATGGTCATACTTTCGGTCATGGTCACATTAAAACTGTAACATCGACTTATTTCTAATATCAACAAGTCGAAATATTATACAAAATCCTTGTCACCTTATTAACTTGTTACTTCGCCTATGTAACGTGATAGGAGGGGATTAAGGAATTTTCAATTTCTCAATTATTATAAAGGAGAACTGACCCAACAACTGTCTAAAAAGGCTGTCTTTAAAGCCTAAACCATCAGGCATACGTACATCAGCAGAGGCAATGCCAAATTGTCAACCTGATTCGTTCGTGCTTCGACGAACGATAGCGCGACGCTCGCTACCAAACTTCGGACGAATAATGGACCGGTGCCCACGTGGCCTGTTAGAAAAAATATATAAATCAATCTCACATATTTACGATTCTCGCTTCGATTCTGAAAGATATAAATACCCATAAATGCTAAAAGACATATTAATCCAACTTGACTAAGAATGCAAGCGATCGTCCCCTCGACGGATTTATCCAAATCGGCGGCCCATTTGCGAGAGCCCCATCTGCTACCGACGCAACTGGCGGCAGTATCGCCTACTCCGATAATTAATACGCCACTGAGCATAACTAATAACGACAGATTGTTCGTTGGCATCCAAAGCGGAAACGACAAGCCGCAAAATAAATAAAGAGGTGTCAAGGAAATCGAACTATCCTTCTCATCGACGAACGCGGAGAATCCTTGTTGCAACATTCCTCCCATCGGTGGTATTCGTAGATATCTTAATAACTGAAGAGACGAGAAATTGAAAAGATTATTAAAAATTATAATAAATAAAACAAAAAGTGTATATAAGGAACACGGTAACTCGTCAGGCAAGTTCTCAAACTTGCCTTCGGGACGCTACCGGGTCCCTCGATTTCATGTTGAAACATTACAGTGGAAGTAGAATTCGCTTACTTCAAGAAGTATAAATAATACAATTATTACTCCGCTGGCTAAATATAACAATACGCGATCGTACAGCAAACCAGGTATGTACACAAGTACAGCTAATACGTGAAACACTTTTCTCGTTGCGGTCGTCGCCTGCAGCTTTAATAATACCTGGTACATAAGAACAGCTACGCTTAATGATAAACATATAGTCCAATATAGAATCAAGATAATCTGTAATATAAACAAATAATTAAAAATAGTTGTATATTAAATATTTTCGATTCCATTCGATTCTCGTACCTTGTTTGTTTCACCTAAGATAAAGTAAAACATCCAAGTTACTGGATTTTGGTCCAACAGGACGTACATTAATGGTAAGACGACGATAAGCAAAAGGCTAACGGTTATCGCATAAAAATTTTTAGTCATATGGAATATTGGAAAATAACCAGATATTAAACAGACGGATATCGCGTACAGCATGGCAATCTGAAACGATATAAATCTGCTGATTACAATCGAAATGAATCGCCTTTATTATTATCGGAATCAAAATCTTGTTTAAGCTACCTGTATCAGAACCGTAGCGATATCCTCGTCGTGAATCGGCGGCAGGTGGTATCTCAGTGGCAAGTTGGTCGCCACGGATATCAGAAATAAAACACATGCATGCATGACTGCCGTTGCTTCTCCGATCGTGAAGCAACGAGGAAATGTGGACATCAATTGGGGAACGCCCCATGTTCCTAAAGTCGCGACACCTAAGCCCCATGTGGTGCTCACCAGCAATCCTGTTCTTATTTATCGATAAATAAAATGATTTAATTTTAACTGATCATATAGACGACAGATAAACATGTAAATGTATTACATTCGTACATATAAGTAAAATTACAGATACAAAAATGAATGACTGAAATTATAATAAAATGTTTCTTAATATTAAGAAATAACTTCTAAATTAATATACCTTTATTTGCAACCAGGAGGTACGACAAGGATGTGATTATAGCTGGTAGAAAATATGCAACTTGGAAGTCCCTGACTGTGATCTTCTCTATTGCTAATCTCAGATATAAGCATATAGAACTAACGACAAGACCAATCCCAGTTAAACCTACGATAAGGCATATTTCAGAATAACTAGCATCCTCTTGCAGCAGAGTTAAAATTGCACTTAAACCGACTAACGGCCCTAGCCATAGTCCACTGCTAGCTTTTATCCTGAAACATTTTTCCCAATAAAACAAGAGAAGAAGAACTGTGGAGAGAATATTTATATAAATTGAAATGAAAACATAATTACAATAATATGAAAAATATATGAGACTTAAAAGAGAAGTTTGTATATATGAGACATTAAGAAAACTCTGCTTCGTTTCCTAATATTTATTAAACAATTCTTAAATAGAAGAAAACGAATCTCTTCAAGGCAGAGTTTGTGCTTAGGTTAACTGCCATCGATCGATTATGTGTAAAGAATTAATAATAAACATACCGATGCTCTACACCGTTGTCTTTCAGACTCTGCAATATTTCTCCCTCGAAATGCACATAATTTTTTATACAAAATTCCATTGCGGATGTCAGATATTCTGCACGCACGTTCCTACACCATCAGTCAATTAACCACACCTCCAAGCAGTTTACGCGTTTCAGTTCTATCTATGTAACAACTGTAACTACTGAGCGGGAAAGTAAAATGTGCGATTTGTGCCGTGTGCTGATTGCGCGGATGCCTCTCGCTACCTCCGATGAGGAAAGGTCAAACTCTTTTTCCGTCGTATCTTCGGTTTTCGTTCTTGCGCACACAGCGATATGAGTAATGTGCATACGAATGACGAAACAGATGTTTCAAAGTACATTTTTCCTCCTGCCGTAATTCGCTAATAAAATAAGTAAGGTAAACCGCTGGAGGAATAATCAAGACTTAACGCAATTATATTATTTATTAAATATATATAAAAACAGTGATCCTTATCCAGAAAAATAAAACAATTGCTATTATTATGCGTTTACTGTTCCACAACTTTATATTATTTAACAATTTACAACATGTGTACTCGACACTCGTCGATCTCTCTATGCACACTGCGTGCCAATGTAAATATTGATCATCTAAGTTTGTGCAAGACCGATGAAATAAAAGGTAAAAAATATATATGTCGGTGAACAAGCTTCTTCCATAGGCGAGATCTTATAGTATACAAGTATCCAACTTGATAACATTCAAACAATTGCAAATTATTTTACTTCAACTGGAACAATTAACGATTACTAAAATTATACCAGATCGTTTATCATTCATTTTGATAAACTCTTAAGAGCTGTGTTTCTTAGCGAATGCGATCAACGCATTTGTAGATGAATCGTGACTCGTAACTGGCTGGGGAGTGTCCAACTCAGGTTCGATCACCTTCGCCAGTTGCTTCCCTAATTCAACGCTGTGGAAACATAATTTTATTTTAATGTTTCTTTCAGTTTCATTAAAATGTTAAAGAAATTGTTACTTGCCCCCATTGATCAAAGGAGTTGATATCCCAGATAATTCCTTGCACGAAGATTTTGTGTTCGTACATCGCTGTCGAAGTAAAAC